CATCATTTTAACATGTAATTTATTTTAAATTTTGTTTCAGAAAAACACTGTCGAGAGCGATGGAAGAACATCAGAACAACATATGTGCACTCACTGAAACCGCCAAAGTCTGGGGTTAGTCAAAATTCAAAGAAAAGTTATTATTTGGCCGAACATTTAGCTTTTCTGCAACCATATTTGAAAGGAGGAGAAACCTCAGGAAATTTTACTCACGTTCAAGATACTGCAGTAGAGAAGTCCTATACCAATCAAAATGATGGAAGTGAGACAATTATTGAAGAGAAAATACCTGATGAAGTTTCTTCAGAGCAATTAATAGAAAAACCTGCTAAAAAAGATGCTGAAAAAGAAAAGATGGTGAACAGCATTTACTTCTTTCTCTTTTACATGATCTGAAAAACCTTAGTTTACATCGTAAGAGGACTTTCAAAATACAAACAATATCTGTTACATAAGTTGTTATACTCTGTTTTTTAACCAAGAGGAGTAAACCAAAAAGACAGATTCACACCCAAGAAAGTTACTAGAAAAGTCACCAAATGCATCTTTTTTTTTGTTGATTATCTCGGCCTTACGGTAATCGAGTAATCAATATCGAACAACCTTCCACGTCAATTCTAACCTAACTTTGTTAATTTATGTTTAAATAATATTTTTTTTCAATTCACTTCCAATAGATATTATAATTATTACAATAAAAAAGGACGTTTTTCACATTTTTCACATTCATCTAAGTTTGGTTTTTTACATAAATTTGTCTTTTAATCTGCAAATAGATCTAATAAATATGCAACAAAGCTATGCAAATGCATGTATCAAAAAGTTAGAGAGAGTTCAAAGATTTCTGAAATACTGTTCTTTTAAACTACGTAGACCATATTTTTATTCTGATGTGATTAATTTCTTGAATATATGTTTTTTTTTCTTACCAGAAGAGTTAACTTTGACTTTGATAATTATTTTTAAGCTTAATAATCCAATCTCCTGTGGTCCTATTTGGTAATCAGTTACCTCATTAGATAGATTTGTTTAACTTATGTATCAATATCTTTAGGTTCTATTTGAAGCACTATAATGCAAAAAGATACTTTGTATAAATAAGTGTGTACTTGAAATTTTTTTAATGCTGGATTCTTGTTTTGGATTCTTGAGTTTGTAAGATTTGTTATCAATAAATAAAATTGACTAAAATTAACAAATTCAATCTATTATGTTACATTCAAGCATAATTTTGCAGTTTTCTTGTGATTATCTACAACCAGGAAGAACAAAACCAACTGTATCAATACAATCAAACTAAAACACATTACTTTACTAATGTTCTTTTATTGTGATGAAAACAAAATGAAAATGCTTCTTAACAAGTGTACACTAAATTTAAAAGATAGTTGCCGTTTTTATTATGATAATTAGATATAAATAACATACATTTATAAATTTATAAACGCTTTAAACTATATTTAGTATAAATATCATCTAGAAAAATATCACATTATATAATATTCGCATATCACCAGTCTGCTTATATTCTTTAATTGTTTGGTAAATAGTTGAATTCGCAACACCTAAAATTAGCACATTACTTTAGTAAGTTTTGATTTTAATAATAACTATTCTGCAAAACTAACCTGCTGCCTGTTTTACTTTTGCTACCGTGGCTGTTATTTTCAATCCAGAATTATCAATTTTCATTTTTTTATACAGGTTTATAGTACATTGTTTCTTATTTATTGATAAATGACCCAAATCTACTCGGCGTTTTTAAGGTGGAGAAGAATAATTACCACTAGTACTGGCATTGAATCCATATTGTTATCTTAATAACACTAAATAGTTCTGAAAAGAACTGTTCTTTATATAAATGGAAACGAAAAATCTATGAATGTGAGGAATAACGCAGAAAATACAAAAAATCGTCGATATAAATTTTGAATTTTAAAATGTCACAAATATCATTAGTGTCAATATGTCATAATTTAGTGGAGTAAACTTACCTGCGGTTGGACCAATTACAAACAAGAATTACGGCGCGGAAAATTTGAATTACTCCTCCTGGTTAAAAAACAGATCATAGAGGAAGATGAACTAGATAATGTAGAATCCAGCATTACAGTTGCTTCTAGCCCATCTGTATGGAGTTTGTCATCCAATCATGACACCGAACAAACTCAATCTCACATGCATAATATTGTAGCAACTTCGGAATTCAATTCGATTACCCAAATGCCAGAAGAAAGTGGAACTGAATGGTACAATTTTTAAAAAACTATAAAAATAAAACTGTTTCAATAATAAAAAAAATTGAAAATAAAACGTCTTTATTTTATTTAAATTGCTAATTATATATATAGCTACTTACTTTATAGTAATCAGGAGTTTTTCATCTGGAGAAATAGACTTCCTGAAATGTGTATCTTTTTTTCAATGGTTCTTGACACTAAGCTTTTCAAAAAATGAAAATTTTCAGGTCACATTCGATAAAATTCTTTGAACTTTGATTCGTGTTGAGACAGCTCTCTGGAAACAACAGCCGAGCTATGGGGCACGTTGATAGGATTGTAAGGATGTACCCAGTATTTTCTTTTTCTTCTCATTCTCCACCTGAACCAATAAACCACTACAACGTCTTCCTCGCTTGAGCTTATAATTGTAACTGAAGAGAATTGTGCTTCCACCATCATCGCACTGTCGCGACGATTTATCGTCCGTTCTCTTTGAACCTTCTTAACAATATATCGTGGCGATAAAATGTCGCTTATTGGATATCGCCCGATTATGAACGCCGCCTTAGACATACCGACGTGATTTCTGCGATCATCCGTTTGTCAGGAATTGACAATATTGATCTTTGCCCGGACAGTTCTTTGACCGTGTTATTATACCGGGAGTTGGAGGTGGCTGGTGATTTTTCGTATTCTTCATGCTTCTTGCTAGGAGCATGCTTTCTTTGAAGATTTGGTAGAGTGATATAGCTTAGCGTGAGACAGGGTGATACAATATCACCGAAACTTTTCAATCAGGTTCTAGAAGATACTTTTAAAAAATTAGAATGGGAAGAAAAAGGTATAAACATTTGTGGACAACGTTTGAAACATCTAAGGTACGCTGATGATATCGTAATGATAACTGATAAAAAAGAAGAATTATTTGAAATAATGAAAGAACTGGACGTAGAAGCTGGAAAGATAGGCCTTAATATGAATTACAGCAAGACCAAAACCATAAATACAAATGAAGACATCACAATGAGAATCGGACAAGATGAAATAGAACAAGTTCAGGATTATATATATATATATATATATATATATATATATAATATATATATATATATATATATATATATATATATATATATATTATATATATATATATATATATATATATATATATATATATATATCGGAAAAAGGAGTACGACCGTCAATCCAATATATATATAAGGATCACTCAGACGAGTGGTGGGTTCTTATATCGGTCTCTAGGTGGAGAAATAAAAGACAAAGTTGATAGGCTACTTTATCTATTTTGAAGACGTTTCGCTTTCGAGTTTTGAAAGCATCATCAGTTCATCTAAAAAATTATTACAATATGAGAACCACACAATCATGGAAACGATGTTAATTGTTACCTTAAAAAGATATGTAGCAGTCAATGTTATTAACAAATATGTGAATGAAACTAAGTATTCTACGTCCTACGTTCATTTATACTATGTCCATTTACTTAGTTTCATTCACATATTTGTTAATAACATTGACTGCTACATATCTTTTTAAGGTAACAATTAACATCGTTTCCATGATTGTGTGGTTCTCATATTGTAATAATTTTTTAGATGAACTGATGATGCTTTCAAAACTCGAAAGCGAAACGTCTTCAAAATAGATAAAGTAGCCTATCAACTTTGTCTTTTATTTCTCCACCTAGAGACCGATATAAGAACCCACCACTCGTCTGAGTGATCCTTTATATAACTATATATATTATATATATATATATATAATATATATATATAATATATATTGGTCAAACTATAAAACTTAACAAAGAGAACCAAACAGCAGAAATAAAGAAACGAGTTAGACTGGCATGGGCGGCATTTGGCAAAGTAAGCTACATTCTTAAAAACAAAAGATATCCGCAGCATCTTAAGAAAAAAGTATACAATCAATGCATACTCTCTGTTCTTACTTATGGATCCCAAACGTGGACATTTACAAAAGCAAACGTGGACAAAATCATAAAAACTCAAAGAGCAATGGAAAGACAAATGTTACACATAAGACTAATGGATAAAAAGAGAAACGAGTGGATAAGAGAGAAAAAAAAAGTGATTGATGTTAGACAAGAAGTTGCAAAATTGAAATGGAGATTTGCCGGACACAATATAAGACTCAAAGAAGACCGATGGAACAAAATTTTTATAAGTTGGAGACCGTGAGAATATAAACGAAGCAGAGGAAGGCCCCAAATGAGATGGGCAGATGATATCAAGAAGCACGTGGGCTCTAGGTGGATGACGGTAGCGAGAGACAGAGAAGAATGGAAAAGGATTGGAAGGCCTATGTCCAAAGATGGACCGAAGAAGGCTAATTAGATAGATAGATAGATATAGCTTAGGACAGATATCCATTAACAAGGTATATACTTTATGTAGCCAGTGATAATTTGCGCTATGTTGTACTTCCTTTGTACTTTAATTTTGTTGTGTGTGAGCGCTGTTTGACCAAAAAAGAGCGACATATTCACTGCTGAAAAGACGAGACCAAATGTAGATATTCGCAGGGTATCGGCTGAAGCCGTAACTAGTGTCCCATATCTGGTGGATTATATTGTTTCAGGTTTCAATGTTAGCACCGACTTTTATTAGAAATTTCTTGAAAGTCTTCAGTTACAATTGTCTAGTAGAGAAAAACTAGATAAGATTTTGTTTATACAAATATTATTAGATGGTTATATTTTATAAAATTTAATCTAAAATACAATTTTTATTTTAGATAAACAAAACAAACATGGCTATCATAACGGGAGTTATTCTTTACGAACTACTTGGTGTCGTCATAGGATTAGCAACGTTAGCGATTTTATATTCAAAATGGGCCTTTCAGTTTTGGAAAAACAAAGGAGTACCTTATTTCGAACCAAAATTTCTTTGGGGCAATCTTAGCCCACCACATAAAAGAACTGTTCCTCTTGGAGATGAGTTAGCTGAGCTGTACCAGAGGGGTAAAGATAAAGGTAAGTTAATGTAATTTGAAAAAACAGTAAACTAATAAACCTTTAGCTAAATATATATTTTTAACAAATGTAGTTTAGCCGAACTTTACTAAACCTCACTTGGTCACTTAATATCACTCGCTTGTATCTCAAACTTTGCTCTTGTGACTAATAACCTTTGATTATCGATACCTCCGTTATCTCTAAAAATCAGTTTTAATTTATGCAAGGCAGATCAATAATATATGAAAGTTTCATCATCAAGCAGCTAATAAAAAATGTATGAATAAAGAAACAAGCGCTCATGTGGTATTCATTAATCTTGGGAAAGTCTACGATAGAATTTCTCAAAACGTTCAGAAAAGAAAAGAATTACGGGTAAGTATGTGAAGAGATTGGCATGAGTGAGTAACAAATGGTGTTAGGACAGGTGTGGGAACTGATAAATTTCTTGTGAAAGTAAGATTACATAAAAAATTACATATAAATTAGCAAGATTGTATATACTATAGTAAAAGCATGTAGTACACCGTCAACTCAACAGCTGAGGTGTTAAGTTGCAGGGTATACCGACAAAAGGACGCGGAAAAAAAGACGCATAAAAAAGGACGCGGAGAAAAGGACGCGCGAAAAAAGGACGCGTGGAAAAAAGGACGCGTGGAAAAAAGGACGCATATTATTAATGAAATACTATAAATAGTTTATTTTAATTGATAATAGCAATTACCCCCGTTTATCCCCTATATATAATTACAGATAATTATTCTACCTAACGTAAAATCGGTTACGGTAAAAGTAAAAAGTGAAAAATATTTATATGAAAAAACTTGCCTTCACACTTTATCCAGGCTTAGGACTGGCAGCAGAAGCTGGCGTGTTTACAAGTTTTTTTAACTTTTTTGTTAATTTTTTGCTTTTTTTGGAATTTTTTTGTCATTTTATTTTTTTTTTGTTTTATTTTTGATATTATTTTTTTTTGTATTTTTTTATGGTTGCAACTGAAAATTGTGACAAAGCCTCTCAAATATTCCCTGTCGGCCTGTCAGCATAATCGGTTTACCTTATCCTGTTTGCTGTATCTTGATATTTTCTTTTGCGTGGAGGTACATTGCCCGAAATGTACTGCTCTATTTTCAAAACATTTAAATCATATTCTTTTTTTAGATAATTAATAAATTTCCAAATATTCGGATGTGCACTATTGAGAAGAGAAGAAAAGCTGTTGTGCCATCCTTCGACAGCATTATTAGTTCGAGGTATATCTTGGTCTGCCAAATCGTAACAATTCCATACATTTGCTGAAAAAAGGGGTTGTCTTCGATTTCCTCTTCTAGCTAATCTCCCTATCCAAGTGTCTTCAAAGTAATTAATCAGCGGCACTAGTAGTTCTTCATTTTGTGTATAAAAATGAAGTATATGGAATCTAACCTGTTTCAATACCAGAAATCTTGAATCAACATTATATTAGTATTTATTATTTTACCTTAAGATATTTTAGTCTTAAGCCTCGATAAAATGTGAGGGCAATTTTTTTCATATAATTATTTTTCACTTTTTACTCTTACCGTAACCAATTTTAGGTTAGGTAGAATCATTTTCTGTAATAACATATGGGGATAAAAAGGGGGTAATGGTTAATGTCAATTAAAATAAACTATTTATAGTAATTCATTAATAATATGCGTCCTTTTTTCCACGCGTCCTTTTTTCGCGCGTCCTTTTTTCGCGCGTCCTTTTTTCCGCGTCCTTTGGTCTCGCGTCCTGTTTTCCGCGTCCTTTTGTCGTAGATTCAAGTTGCAGTGCCAATTTATACGTAAAATAAATCGTCTTAATCACATTTTTATTGTAGTGTATGTGAGAGATGGTGAACTTTGCAAGCTTTTTAAATGAGTGGTTCAAAAACGTTCCAAACAACAGTCTTTTGATTGATTTTATTATCAATCAAAACATATAAACCTGCAGCAACTCTCCTTTTTCCAAGTGCGTATATTCTAAAATACGAACTGCCTGCTTCTTTCGAGAACACCGTGTCGCTTTCAATCTAGCGAAGGATTGAGAGGAGTCGAATTTTTTCTCTGGAAATTATAACTTTGATCCGCTTAAATCATTCTGAAAATACAAAATAATCTGAAACGATCTTTATAGTTAGAAGTCCGGACATATTTAGACTAAAATGTATGTAACTTAATTTATCATATAATTTTTTTCTAAGCGAGGCGTTAGAAAGTATATCTCTTCAGACGCAGATAAACACTCAAGCGATAAAGAATTATGATAGATTAGGATGCGTTTGTCTTTTTTGTATTAAAAACTAGAGGAGACTGATCATCTGTTATCTACTTCGTTCTTTTTCAAGTAGTTAATACAACAACTCCCTGGTTGATCCTGCCTCAGTAGTCATATGCTTATCTTAAAGAGTAAGCCATGGATGTCTCAATAAAAAATAAATTAAGGTCAAACCGCGAAAGGCTCATTTAATGAGTTATGGTTCCTTAGGTAGTACCCACATTTACTTGGATAACTGTGATAATTCTAGAGCTAACACATGCAAACAGAGCTTTAACCGGAGACGGAATGAGTGCTTTTATTAGATCAAAACCAATCTTACTGCTTAATCCTTACTTATTCTCATGAGTGTTTGATCAAGTAACAGGTTTAGATACAGTAACGTAAGTTCTTGAGGAGAAAGGTTTAAAATTTAATAGGAAAAAAAAACAAAAAAAAATCTCGATACGCTTATAATTATCCAATACAAAGAATTGCTGACATACAAATTCTTGGAAGGAGTAGGAGAAGAAGACCAAAGAAAACCTGGTGGGACACACCTAGGCAGGACATGTCGGTAAAGGGTCCCATATGGGGATAAAGCCAAAGAGAATGGTGAATAGTTGTCGTATAAGTGACGACTAATATCAAGACGATACTAGTAGCCTTATACTCATCTTTTTACTGTTTTTTTATTTCATATTTTCCAGTAATTATCTGTGATTTATTAATGTAAACTATAGAACTATATTTTTATCTTTGATTTATAGTTCAAATTTCCTTTTAATGATGCAGAACATAAACCTTTTAACACTGCTAAAAAGATCTTTTGTTTATATTTCATATCTGTGTTTTATTCCAAAAGATCTAGACTTGAAACAAAGCCTAGTTATTATCTGTTTCCGAGATATGTTTATTCTTCTTCTTCTTTAGGTACCATCTCCTCTAAGCAGGCTGGTAATCATCACAGCTATTTACAGTTTTGAGATTGCAGCTCTGAAATGTTTATTAACTGGTTAGATTATAAGCATACTTATTACAGGTATTTATAGCTTGGCAAACAATTGCAGTAGCAGACAACATGTTCGCACGTTTCATCTACATTTTCGCAGAATATGAATGTTACTTTGTCCGCTTTGATAATTTTCCAGATAGGATATTTTAATAAGTTGAGTCCAGTAAAAACATCTGTGATTACGCTGGATTCAGTTTTCTAAAGCTCTTTTTTGACGATTTTCCGGAGCAAGAATGAGAAATCTAATCCAACCATACAAAAGAACGTAAAAAAATACAAGAAAAATAATTATTTAGAAGTTTGCCATAAATTAGCTACCTAACTTAAACTTTTTTTGAAAAATTCAAATATTTTTCCTGAACTCAATTTTAATCCAAAAAATCTGAAAAAAAATTAGGTTTCTGGATATTAAAATACATACTGTGAATTTTTTTTTCAGATTTTTTAAAGCAAAGCATCGCTCCGGATTTTTTTTTCAAACAAACACATTTTTGCGATAGGGGACCTCAGGGGCCACTTAAGTAGCTAAAAATTTGGCTACAGGGGTTTCTAAATGTGTAATTTAAAGTGCCTAATCCCAAATAAAAATTCAGCCGAGTGCAGATTTTAGCGTCTTATATCGCTACAGCCTTTACTTTGCTGTGATTGACCATTCTTTTAAGGAACTTTCTACAGTTGCATGAACTTTATAAGTTGTAAACTTTAGTTCCGTACTTGTCCCAGCCACAGTTTCATAAAGATTAAATCTTTCTTTTTTCCTTTATAATAGGTCGTCCACGGGGATACAACAAAAGGCAAATCAATAACTATGGTGTGTTTTTATGTATGAGAGAGTAATAAAACAATAAATTATGTATGCAAATCCCTAAACTGTTGATACGGGTGACTTAATGAAAAACAGATATTTGTCAAGAAGTTTACAGAAGTATATAGGAAAAAAATTTTAAATTAAGTATGACCACCAGGTATAAAGGTTTTAACAGAATAGAATACAATAGTTGTGAGGGTTACTAATCCCTAAATAAGGTTGCCAGTGTCGGAGTGATGGAGGTTAACAGGCACTAATGAATTTGCAAGAAATGTAAGATGTTTATTTTATTGGTTATATATAACCAATAAAAGTTTAATAAGTACCTACCTATTTGCAAAATAAAGTTTAATTCTTTAGATAAAATAAAACGTTTTATTTTATCTGAAATGAGTGCATTCCACGAAGTAAGGGTTTCAACAATCAAACATTTAATTCTTTAATTCCAGGAATCTACGACAGTAATTGACTAGATAATTACCTTCTAAACTTATTCCACAGAAAATGTGATAGTGGATTTTTCCATTTTGTAGGAAGGTCCAAGTGGCGTATTCAAAATTCTTAACAGTTCAATAAAAGTAGGTACTTCAGTTGCAAGGTGCAGTTTATTGTGTATACTAGTGTTATGGAAAATTTGGAAGTGCCGTGGAAACGCCGAAAAATTGGTCCTTTAACAGTTAATGAAAAAACATTAATATTTAATTGTTTTAAATCATTTACAGACAAACGTTTATGTGAAAGTGTTGATGAGACCGTTGAGTTAGTTAGCAGTACACTTGGTGTTGGGAAATCTACGATTTACAGAGTTATTAAAGAAGAGAAATGTGGTAGATTTCAAATGCCACGTAATGCTCCAGAGAAACCAAAATTTCAAATAGAATATCATTTTAAAGAAGGACTTCGACGGAAAGTGCATGAATTCTTCTTTAGACAAGAATTTCCAACATTGGATAAAGTTCTTGTCTCAGTTCGAGATGATAAGGATTACCCAGAAATGAGTCGAAGTACGTTATGGAAACTTTTAAAAGAAATAGGCTTCCGCTGGAAAAAGAATCTCAGAAAGTCTATTTTATTAGAAAGAAGCGATATTGTGATATGGAGAAGACATTTTCTAAGAACCATAAAGGAAATGAGAAACCAAAAAAGAAAAATATTTTATCTTGATGAAACATGGATCAACGAGGGTCATACACCAAATAAATTTTGGCAGGATGAAACTGTTGCAAGTCAAAGGCACGCTTTTGTAAATAACTTATCTACTGGTTTAAACCCACCATCAGGAAAGGGACGCAGGCTGATAATAGTACACATTGGCAGTTCAGACGGTTTTGTTGAAGGTGGTTTATTAACTTTTGAATCAACTCGTACCGGTGACTACCATGAAGACATGCACGCTGATGTCTTTCAAGAATGGTTCGAACAAATGATAGATCTTCTTCCTAAGAACTGTGTAATAGTAATGGATAATGCAAGTTATTACTCCAGACTTATAGAAGGACTGCCCACAACCAAAAAAAAGACTTGCAGAATTGGCTGAGTTCAAAAAATATTACGTACCATCCCGGATCTATAAGAAAGGAACTTTATGCGTTGTGTGCCCTTCATAAAGAAAAATTTTAAAAATACAAAATTGATGAAATTGCCAAAAATCGTGGAATGACAGTACTTAGATCCCCATCATATCATTGTGAATTAAACCCGATTGAACTGGTATGGGCACAGATAAATAGTGAAGTTTCAAGAAAAAATACCACTTTTAAAATTCATGATGTTAAACAGTTGTTTTGGAGGCCGTAAATAATGTAAAACCTGAAAACTGGGAAAAGGCAGTAAATCACACTATTAAAGAAAAGGAAAAAATGTGGATGCTGTACAATATTACTGATAAAATGATCGAGCCAGTTATTATAAATCTTGGTTCTGAAAGTTCATCTTCTGAATCTGATTTGGATTTGTAACAAGTAGCTGTAAGTTTTATATTAATATTTTTATTCATCTATTTAACATACCTTAGACGGTTTTAAAAACTCTTTTTCTCTTTTGTAATTTTTAAAAATTAAAAAAAATGTGAATTTTTTTAAAACCCTTTTTAATGTAGGCCAGTCAGTTCTAATATAGTGTGTGATAAAAGAGGTCACTTTTGTTTACATACACATAACACTTTATAACACTGAAATAATTCATTTATTTTTTACAATTATTCAAAGTAATTTTTCAATTAACCTTGAGCACGTCCATGGAGTGGTCGGAGGTACCAGTTAAAATTATGCTAATTACTCTCTCGTTCATAAAAATAAACTATACATGTCTACCACGACCAACTCTTTTTGGTAAATTAAGTGTATTAAAGAGATCATAATTTCCGACATAATTGTAATTGGAGTACATCGTCTTGGTCTCCTTCTTGCGTATTTTTATCCATCTGATTCTGAGCCATTCTACTTTTGTTTCTTTACAGATACTTTTCGATAAGTTATGGACTCTTCCTAACTTCTTGTAGTAAAAAAGTAATTTGTTGTCATCTGATGCACAACAAATTTTGGTGTTTTCTTTTTAGCATTTTAAATTGCATTTGGCCAATCATTTGGATGAAAAATTTGAGGATGATACTTTTTTTCTCTTTCTTTTACACCAAAATGTTGATTATAGCTAGAAACGCTATGGCCTGGTGTAAAAAATTTTAAATTTATTTTTTCAATTTCTGAGTTGCAAAATATTGCTCAGTCCCAACACAACATTAATGTTGCCATTTTGACTACCGCAACAGTCACTGTAAAAATTAATTTCTTTGGTTGCTGTAGGTAAGCAGACGCGACAAAGGAAGAACAAAGCTACCTTTCTGCAAAGTTTTAGTCAATTTAACTGAAGCACTTTTATATACCTACGTAAATGAGAAATACACCAGGAATATTTTAATATTTGCACGAATGTGACAGACAATGAGGCCAAGAGTTGAAACTTATGTCATGCTTCAGGGGCTTCTGTTATTTTTTTGGTTTAATGTTTTTGTATCAGATACTTCTTGAAAATTAACTGTGTTAAAGAATTGGTAAGATGTTTTATTTTTTTGCGTAAAAACTTCGCCTTACACGAAGAAAAAAAAAAAAGAAAATTTTTTGTCACGAATTAAACACAAAGAATTTAAGAATGAAAACATTTATTTAAAAATTACTTTATAAAAGGTATATATTAAAACACCCTATCGGGCTACATCACCGAACTTTTTCGGAATTAATATTCCATCATTAGTGCTATCTGGATATACATGTTTTGAGTCACTAAATACTTGTAAAAACCCTTTAAATGTTGTTAAATTGAATTTGAGTTACATGTTTCAGTTACAACAGGAATAGTTATCATTGCAACGTAAGACTCCATTGGAAGTTGCTAGTCCTAAAACAAAGTGTCTACGAGGACTTGTTGATTGAGACTCCAGTGGAGTTTTAAGTTGACATGTTATTTATTCCTGTTGTAACTTAAATATCCTAGCACATAAAATCAAATAATGTAACTCAAATTCAATTTAACAATATTTAAAGGGTTTTTACCCAAGTATTTAGTGGCTCCAAACATGTACATCCAGATAGCACTGATGATGGAATAGTTATTTCGAAAACATATAAAAAAATAGTTTTATAAAGGAATTTTTAAATAAATTTTTTGTGATACATAGTATAGAGCTAGCTACAGGAACTTAGTTTCCTTGTGGAATTTAAAACTGATTTTTAATTTGAAATATCTCCCAGGCGTACCATTTTTTTCTTTAAAAAAAAAATTGAAACGACGATGATGAAAAATGATGAATTCAAATTCTTAGTTGCATAGAAAAAACTACCTCTTAAACTTCTCCAAATTTTATTTGTATATCTCAACCGGTTTCAGAGCAATAAATAAATTATCAGTTTGTAAGAAAAATTTCGACACCCCGTATCTCGGAAAACGAAGCATTTTTATATAAAAAAAATATCATTAATTTTTGACTGTATAGGAGTGCTGACTCACTCCCTATAGTGAACAAATATGTATTATTTAAATGGACTAAAAACAGATATTTTAAACCTCTGTAACATGACCAAAGCTACCTATCTGCAAAGTATTTAATGTGTAACGTGCATTAAAATATGTTTTAATTCAAGTATATGTAGTAGTATCAAACACATGTAGGATAAATGTTAAAACTCAATTTTAAATTTTAAAGTACAGTTTTTGTTAAAGGTTTTTGTTTTATAATAGTTTACAAATTATCAAAATATGCAAAACATCTTACCTTGGTCACATATTCACACATGATATATCTACACTGACCGGCAAAAAAAGTGGCCACCCTATAAATTTCCGAAAATAAAAATTCAGTGGAAGTTTTATGCACTGTTTCATATTGTATTCTCACATCTTTCATTTTTAAAACAAAAAATGGCCATTACTGTTTGATTTCTTAGCATTTCTTAGCTTAGACTACACAAGAAAATAGTCTGATATCGAAACGAATTACAAACAATAAAAATTACGAGTAAACTTAACAAAATTGTCTAATATCGGGTATTATGCCCTAAAACATCAATAACCGTTTGCATATGATTTTAAATCGACAGGAAAAAATTTTGAATAAAAACTTAAGGAATACGTTCATATTCTTCACGAAACATGTTTTGAAGTTCTGCAAGACTACGATAAAGTTCATCCCAAAGATGTTCGATGATATTCAGATCGGGGCTTGAAGCTGGCCGTTCTAGAGTCTTAATTCCAACTTTCCCCAAGTAATATGTCAGGATTCTTGCAGTATGCAGCTGTGCATTTTTATGCGTAAAGACGAAATTGTCCCCAACAAAACAACCAAATGAAACTACTGCTTCTGCCAAAACATCCTCTATATACCAGTGAGCATTCAGGGGGCCATTGATGAAAATAGGTTCAGTTCGAACTTCAAGTGAGATTCCAGCCCAAACCATGATACTACCACCGCCAAACTTTCTTCTCTGGACATATAAGCTTGGGCATATCTTCCATTTCTCCGTCTCCAAACCCTCTCTCGGCCATCGCCACACTTCAAACAGAACCAAGATTCATCAGTAAAGAGAATTCTGCTCCTATTCTGTATATCCCAGTGTTGATTTTGCCGAGAAAAAATTAATCGGTTCCTACAGTGTCTGGGTTGTAATTCAGGAATAATAGCCTGCCTTCTTGCCACTAGCTCTCTTTCATTGAGGTGTCTTCTAACCGTTCTCTCACTTACATTCCCATGTTGAACCACCTGCATACGGTTTCTTCAGCAATTGCAGTGGAATAGCGATTTCTTAAAAGTTCCATCACAATAAAACGATCATCTCTTTGCGAGGTAACTCTTCTACGATCGGAACCATAAAAATCGCAAAAAATATTTAATTTGAGATGCAATATGAAACAGTGTATAAAACTTTCAATGAATTTTTATTTTCAAAAATTTATACGGTGGCCACTTTTTTTGCTGCTCAGTGTATAATTTCCTGCAGCTTTTAAATGAAGAGAAGGTAGAAGACAGACCTAGTCCTGGTAGATAATAAATGGCTATGTAACACAAAAAACTACAGAATAATGGACTAAGAATAGACAAAAATTAATAAGAACAGTTCAAAATAAAGAAAAATTTACAGAAGTCATCGCTAATTTCTACTGAAGAGAACGCACATAAAAAAGAAGACAACATGATTGTTTAGTATTATTGTTTATTATTTTTTAAACAATGTTAGTATATTATATAAGAACTTAATTATTTCATTTTATCGGTACTATTTGATTTTTCTTTTTTTGATTATTTTTTTTATTTATAAATTAATCATTTTAGTTTTCATTAAGACACTGTTCTTATGTTTCAGGATGGAAACATGTTGGACTGTACAATATGGTTTCACCAATATATCTCCCTATAGATTTAAATATTTTAAAACATGTTTTAACCAAGGACTTTAACCATTTTGTGGATAGAGGCTTTTATGTAAACGAAAAAGATGAGCCAATCGGTGAGTAGAAATTCTATTCGTATGAGTTGAGAAATTTTATTGTACCTCCTATCAGAGAATATAAAGTAACCAAATCGGACACTCTTTTTTTCGAAAGAAACATTCGTGTAATGATAATTTTCAGTTTATTTTTTAAGAGGGCAAAGTCTTAAAATGGTCTCTAAATTAGATTCACGTTAGAATCTAAAATTCCATAGCGCTGATTGGACATAATTTATCTTAACTCCAACAAAGCTCTTCAACATTCTTCTCTCTTTTCATAAACGTTTAAATTAACAAGAGTACGGTTTAATTAGACTGACAGTTGGTTTGTTGGAAGACTTTAAAACGTGTCTTTAATCAAACCTATCTAGCATTGGCTTTGTTAAGGATTAAAATCAAAATACAAAAACAGCATATACATTATGTTGTCGAAATTTTGCATAATTTTTATTTCTTGTTTTATTTTATGCTAAGATTATTTTGCACTTATCATTTATTATTCGTTTTAGCTCTATGGCATCATGTTCTCTGTTGGTGTCATACGCTATGCAGCGAGTCATTTATGCTGGTTGTCAAATGTACAAGAGCCCTCTCCTACTGCTTTTCTGATTGTTGCGCTAATATTAGAAATCCGCACCAGCTTCTTCTCTCCGGTCTAGTTCGTCTCTGAACCATCAATACTGCGTCCTCCTCGATCTTCAATTTTGCCCATTAAGATGATATTTAGTAGCTTATATTTGTTATTCCTTAGAATACGATCTAAGTATGAAACAGTTTAGTATTTAATGTGATCTAGTATTTCTCTTTGAATATAAAATCTCTTTAGGACCTCTTTATTTGTAACCTGAGCATGGAATTGGGAGAAACTTTTTAAGACATCACTTTTCAAAAGCTTCAAAGTGAAGGTAGCTTCTTCTTCCTTTGCCCTATCCGTTTCGGACGTTGGCTATTAACAAGGCTATTTTGACTTTGTTTACGGCACCTCTGAACAGTTCGGTCGATGTTAGTCCGAACTATTGTCGCAGGTTATGCATCCATGAGTGTCGTCTTCTTCCCAGTCCTCTCCTACTGTCGATTCTTCCTTGGACTATTAACTGTAGCAGCCGGTACTTAGTATGCCTCATGACATGTCCAAAGTACTTTGCTTTTGCCTATTCTTTGCATTACTTCCACGTTAGTGATGTGGTCTGTCCAGGATATACGAAGAATACGGCGATATATCCACAGCTCAAAGGATTCTAGTTTCTTCAGGGTGGCTTCCGTTGTGGTCCATTCCTCTGCTCCATAGAACAAGACCGGGAAGACATAACACTTGACCAGTCTTAATTTTAGTTCCATTGAGATTTTGCTTGTGTACCACTTTGTCATATTGTTGAGCGCGTTTCGCGCTTTTTCAATTCGTGATCTTATTTCTGTTGACTGGTCCCATTTTGTGTTGACTGTGGTTCCAAGGTATGTGTATGTCTCCACTTGTTCTATTTTTCGGTTGTTTAATGTCAACTGCATCGGAGGTTGTTGTGTTCTGCTGATGAACATGCATTTAGTTTTGGTTGTATTGAGTTCTAAACCATATTCTTGACTTGCTGTGTGTATGCCTTGCACGAGTCTTTAAAGCTCGTTGCAGTCATTTGCGACAATAACTGTGTCGTCAGCATATCTAATATTATTGATTACCTCTCCGTTTACTTTGATACCCTCCGAAACTTCTCCCAGTGCTTCTCTGAAGATTTGTTCAGAGTATATATTGAACAGGAGCGGAGAGAGGACGCATCCCTGTCGTACACCCTTTTTAATATCTATCTTCCCACTGTGTAAGTTGATCATCTTTATCTCAGCACTTTGGTTCCAATAGACACTGGTTATTATGCGCAGATCCTTGCCATCAATATGCATCTTCCTGAGCATTTCCATGAGTTTATCATGTTTGACCTTGTCAAACGCCTTGAAGAAGTCGATGAAGCACAAGTGGACGTCCTTGTGCATGTCTCTGCATCTTTGAATTAAAACTTGCAGACTGAAGATCGCCTCTCTTGTGCCCAATGCGCTTCGGAATCCGAACTGTGACCCCGATATATTTGCTTCGCATTTGTTATATATTCTATTGTGTATGATTTTGGTGAAAACTTTGGTAATGTGATTTATCAAGCTTATTAAGCGGTGTTGATCACAGTGTTTTGCACTTGGTGTTTTAGGTATGGCTACAAAGGTCGATCGAAGCCATTCCTCCGGAATCTCCCCTTTGTCGTAAAAGGTGTTAAAAAGGCAGGTCAGAAAATCGAAGAAGTGGTCATCCGTTTCGCATAGGAGTTTTATGATCTCGCCTTGTATGTTGTCGGGACCTGGTGTTTTGTCGTTTTTTAGCGATGAAATGGCTTTTTCCACTTCAGACCTTAGTATTTCGGGTCCAGTCATGTCGTCATCTTGGTCCACTGTCGCTCTGCGTTTATCGTTAAAAAGTCGTTCTACGTAATCTTTCCATGTGTCAATGAGCTTCAAGTCGTCTGATATAAGGTTACCGTCTGCGTCTATTAGTGTCGGGTGGGGATTATTGGTTTTCTTTTTAGTTGTTAATTCTTTGATCTTTGTAGCTAGTTACTCAATTATTTTGATTTTAATTATACTTTGAGTGGTAGCTAGTAACTCAATTTTTTTAACATTTCTATGGCATGATTATTTATTTTCAACTGACCGATATGGAATCATTATCAACGGTCTTTTGATGTTAATATGAATTCCGTACTCCTCTCCCACTATTATAACAATATTTATTATCTCTTGCAGTTCGTCTATATTGTCGCTATAATGGCTATACCGTCAGGGTATTTAAGATTATTAATAAGAATACCGTTTATTTTGATACCATTTTTGTTTTGCTCATTCTGAAGCAGAAATATATTTTCTACATAAATTTTAAACAAACGTTGATAGAAAATGCAATTATATCTCATCTCTTTGCTTATTTCCATTTGTTTTGTACACAAACTGTTGGCGTAAGTTCAGATATTTGATTCCAGTATAATTGGTGTATCATTTTCATATCTCTGCCATAATTATGTGTGATGTTAAGAAGTAAGCTCTGTTCGGGAGGTATATTTTTGTCTTAATTTCTACGCTTACTAAGTTGCTGTTGTTTAGTTGTGTTCCAAGATATATAAACTCCGAGACCCCTTCGAATGTGCGTGCTTCTGTCACCAGATCTTGTGGTGCCGCTATTTGTGTGCTATTCGTGACCTTCATGTATTTTGTTTTGGATACATTAACCTGCAGTCCCATTGTCTTCGCGGTTTTTTCTAATGTTTTCAAAAGCCTGTATCAGGTCTCTTTTTATCCGTGCTACTATGTAAATTTCATCTGCGTAGGTCAATATCTGTACACTTCTATTGATGATCGTACCTCTGGTTGTTATGCCCAATTTCTCTATGGCTCTTTCTAGCGCGACGTTAAACAATAGGCAAGATAGACAGTCTCCCTGGCGTAATCCAGTATGTGTTTGAAAAGACCTCGACGCTCTGTTTTGTACCTTTGCACTCAACTTTCGAAAGAGTTGCCTTTACCAATGTTATTAGATGCGACGGAATATCTAGTTCTGCCATGGCATTATAAAGTGCGCTTCTGTCTACACTGTCATAAGCGCTTTTAAAATCTATGAAGAGGTGGTGGGTATCAATTCCATATTTATATGCCTTTTCTTAGGTTTGTCTGAAAAGGAAACTCTGATCAATTGTTGACCTTTCTTCCCGGAATCCACATTAGTATTTGCCTATTTTTTTCTCAGTATATACTAGTAAACGATCATAAAGTATATAAGCCAGTACTTTGTAAGACGTATTTAAGAGGGTAATGCCTCGATAGTTGTCACATATTAGTGGATCCCCTTTCTTGTGAATAGGTATCATAATACCTACATTCCAACTGTCTGGGAGTTTTCCTTCTCTCCAAATGGATGCAACAAGTTTTATTATGTATTTTTTTAGCGCGTTTGTTCCATACTTGAACAGCTCAGGGGTATACCATCTTCTCTAGGAGATTTGTTGTTTTTTAACCTTTTTATTGCCTTGGCAACTTCTTCTTCTGTTGGTCTATTATTTTTCTCCCTCTAATCGTCTACCTCTCCACTGTGGTCAATTATGTTAGTCGCTTCTCGGTTGACTAGATTTAATTTCTCAACAAAATTCTCCGCCCGTCTTCCCAATATTTGATCCGTTTCATTGGTAATTTCGGCTTCCTTACTGTTTATTATGGTTATTCTAGGTTTTAATTCTTTTCTGTTGTGGTTCACATTTTTATAAAATTTTCGAGCTTCGCTTTGTGAATTGAGCCTTTTTAGTTCCTGTAGCTGGTTTTCTAAATGTCGTTTGTTCTTTTATTTAAGTATCTTTTTCTCTGCTTGTTTCATCTGTTTGTACTCCTCTTAATTTTGTATCGTCCTTCTGTTTTGGGGTTTCCCATATGCCTGATTCTTTTTTTTAGTTGCCTGTGCTCCTTCCGCATCATACCATTCTGTCCCCTTTCTTTCTTGTTTCTTCTTTCCTAAAACTGTTGTTGCTACTTATTTCACAAGCATAATGTGTAAAAATACTTAATGCCTAGTTAAATATATTATACTATATTTCAGGTGCTCATCTGTTTGCAATCGGAGGAAAGAAATGGAAAAATTTGAGAGCGAAATTGACACCAACTTTTACCTCGGGAAAGATGAGGGCTATGTTTCAAACAATAGCCGATTGCGGAGCTCAATTGAACAAGTATTTAGTTGACGAATTAGCCCATAATGAGCCAATCGAGATAAAAGATGTTCTAGGTAAGCGATATACTCTACTTTAATAATTTTTTTTTCTAACTTATCTTCATAGTTTTGATCAAGTATGTATATGAATAAACGTGTACATATACTACGTAAAATAAATGATTTTTTGATGTTTCAAATACACACTTAATTAACAATTTTACAATACACACTTTACTTCTTTGTAAAGGACCGCAAGAGAACGGAGAAGTTTTTAAGGTCGCGCTAAAAATCTATTGTGATAATTTGTCATAATTAATATAGTTTTCAAGGTGACGCTCGAATGGCTACCCTGATTGCCACGTATGAGGTACCAAATGAAGAGATAGAGATGGAGAATATAATGATATAAAAAACAAACACGGTCAAGACAAACTGATACTACGTCATATAAGTCATATCTTTGGTACTAATGGTTCTACCTTTACATATGAGGTATACAATAAAAATGAAGGTAACAAAAAATAAAACAACAAACAACGAAGATGACATTTTCAAAGAACAAATAGTCGTCGTATCTTCAGTGTTACTGATCCTTACCTTACTTCCGATGGTTTCTAACTAATTTTAGCCAGATGTCGAGTTGCTTAACTCTTTCGACACCTGCTCTATTTAGTATGAACAAATTGCGAAACCTCTAATTATTTTATTACGGGCCGAATTTCTATTTGGTAAAATAGTAACATTTCGATGTTGGAGTAATAGTTGCACTTCTGTTTTACAAATCGTTTTAAAAATAACTAAGAGTGAATGACCACTTTGCTATGTCTAGTAGGTAAAATTAATATGTTTATTCGTCTTCCGGGTTTGGACCGTGTCATTTGTGAGTGACCCAAAAGTGGGTTCATCTCGACGTTTCGCTACAATTGTATGTAGCTTCTTCAGGAGAACAAAGAAAAACATTTATCATCTGGCCCCATGGTCAACATACCCTTTCTCCCTTCCTAGATCATCTTAACTCACAACAGCCGAGTATAAAATTCACAATGGAAGTAGAAAAAAATCGGTCCCTTCCCTTTCTCGATGTGTTAGTCACCTCCAAGCCCAATGGCCGATTGGGTCACTCTGTTTATAGAAAAAAGACTCACACAAATCGTTACCTACATGCTTCATCACACCACCATCCTGCCCAAAAGAATTCTGTGATCAACTCTCTCATCCATCGGGCCATTTCGATTTCTGAACCTGACATCCTTAGAGAAGAACTTGGCCATCTGCAAAAAACCCTTGTCGCCATATTGTAAAACCAAAATAGTACACTAAGAGCTTGTTCAGATGAGATAATTTGCGCGAGACATTCGATCACATTCAGAATGGAGTTGGACGAAGCGGTTTATTTAGCTTGCGTATTTTCAATGAGCTTGTTCAGTTGAGACAATTTGCACGAGACTTTCGATCACTATTCAGAATGGAGTTGGACGAAGCAGGTTTATTTTGGTTTGCGTATTTTCGATGGAAAATCCACAAAAGAGGAGAAACATACGGTTTAGGGTGCATCCCATTTTACATGACACAATGCCTCGCGGTATGTTTGTGACTCTGTATCCAAATTTAAGAATTATAAAATAAATTTTTTAACTAATTTATTCCCATGTGAAAACTATGTAGTAAGAGATGCAGAATCTCTGCAGAAGAAAATCTCGTCACTACTTTAAGGTAAGAAAATTTTTATTTTTATTACAGTAAAACCAAAACGTATTTATAAATATTTAGGTATTTGTATTATTCAAATAGTTGTAGACATTCAGAATCTTGTGATTGTTCTGATGACGGTAAATAGTAGCCATCCGCACTTGGTGACACTACAGTGGCATATCTAGTTCGTATTGGAACTGATGATAAGGATGGTACTGCTGGATCATACTGCGAATTCTACCTGCTCTTGTTGGGTCCTTATTGATGGCGTTGAATAATATTCCTCGTGTTGAGTATTATATGCAGGTTGTGTGAATAACTTAACTGTAGATACTTTATCTTCATTGCGAAATGGTTGTGTAAGGCGTGAGGGCTGTTGTGCTTTTTGGAGCACGCTAATGACTTCGATTTCAGTTTGAAGACGATGCTCCTCAGTAACTTTAGAAGCTCTGTGCGTAAAGACAGGCCGAATAATTTGTCATCTTCGCATTCCACAGAGGGTGTTTGTGATGGGGGATGACTACGAGATTGAGTCTTTTGCACTAATGAAGCAGTCTTTAAGCCCCTTCCTTCGTTAAAATGATTTAACTTATTAATAGAATTTAATTTTGTTGTTTAAGATATTTAGCTACGGGGTGTTATTTTGCAGATCTATACTATGCCTACAGTTGGGAAAAATCTACGATAATATGTGATTGTCACGAGAAGACTGGATGCCATAACTTATGTAGTTTCTAGTATCTCGGCTCATGCGTAAAACGGACGTTACTCGCGCGAGTCGAGGTTCTGGCGTAATGTATGCCTTTTAAGTGCGAGTGAGGGAACGCGCGAAAGCATCTGGACAGGATATGTATGTATACTCCATTCCACGAATATAGGACTGTTTTAAATTCGCTTTAAGGTGTCGATTTAAATGGTCCAATGTACTGAATTGTACAATAGTAAATTCTCCCCATTTTTAAAATACTGTTAACGATATACTAGATTTAATATGTCATGATAATATAAAAACCTTAGATTTAAATATGAAGTCATGATATAAATATAAATAAACCTTAGATTTAAATATGAAGTCATGATATAAATATAAAGTTGTAATTCAGATTTTGAAGTATATAATTACTATCATGGAGTTTAGTATTGTAAACAAGTTGGTTTTTGAATTATGCGATTTAAACGAAATGTAACAATACTTAAGAGATCAAATGGTGTAATTTTTTTAGGCGAATATTCAATTAGTATTAAAAAATAAAAAAAACTTATTTATTCACTTATTCTCTTAATCTTCTAAAACTATCATCAACGATCAGATTCACAGATATAATCAGTCGGCGATATATGAAACTATATATAAATTTTCGTTACTTTTTAATATCTGTAACGACTCGGTACTTTAACTATCAATAGCCGGTATGTTATACCCGTTACTTTCGGAACTTTTAAGAGTACATAAACTCAAAGCAAACAAATATTTAAAACTAACAAAGTGAAATATTAGATCCTTTTTCTGGTTTCTGAACCATCGTTCTGCCAATTTCTTTTCATTTATATTAAAAATAGTATATTTCTTTTTATTACAGTTGTAATAAAGTCATATCTAATAAAGTCATAAAATAGGGTAATATCAAAGAAACCCGGCACGCCTCTTTGGTGTTTACATTTTACGGAAAGCTTACCCAAATGTCTGATAAACACATTTGACTTCATAGACGTCATTGTATTTATTTGTAGATTTTAACTGAAATAATTTTAGTTTAGATGTCATACTAGTGGACCCTTTTTATTGGAATAATGATTGGATCAATTTACCTTTATACTTCTACTTGCACAGTAAAATATTCGTTGTCGCAGTAAACCAAAACAGTCGTATATTCGTGGAATATACGACTATAGCTCCAGTATCTCGGGAAACTGCGAGTCACTGTGAGTAAATAGACTCGCGAGCAAATATACTCACGTGCAAATCGCCTCATCTAAACAAGCTCTAGGCGAGATATATAATTTTACGTAGCGCGTGATGTGTTGTCCGACTGCGGACTAGAGAAAACGATTTTCATAGAGAAGGCGTGATATTTTCCCAACTAAGAACGAAAGAGTGAATGTAATTGAGTATCGTGATATTATTTTAACTTACCGCGTACTTGAGAATATCGTTATGGCGAAGAACCGGGAATTTATAGGGATTTTTAAAAAGAGAAAAATCTTTTTTATGGCTTTCTTGTTTGTAAATTCAAAGCAGTAATGGGATGTAATTTTACTACCGGTGATTTAATTACCATGGTTTAGAAATCACCGATAACTACCGTTTCCTTGCGAGCTTCTATAACCGTGACCAGTGACCAGATATATATCAGATATCAATTTCACAGTCACCATTGCACAAGACGTGTTATTATAATAAATATTGTGGTATTCTTGATGAACGTCACTTGGGGTACGGTGACTAATATCTGGGATTTACCAATGGCGAATTTTAGAAATGGTGAAATACAAGGTATTTTACGTTATTATTTACTGATATTTTTTCTTTTTAAAATATTAAATTTAAATTTATGTCATTAAACGTATTAAATTTTTTTTTCTATCATAAAAACATTCTGGCAATTAGACAAGGAGATTCGCTGAGCTCATTAATATTTAATCTGATAATGGATGAAATCATAAAGAAAGTTAAAAAAAGAAGAGGATATAGAATGGGAGAAAAGGAAATAAGGATAATGTGCTACGCCGACGACGCCATAATAACAGCCGAAAATGAAGATGACCTACAAAGATTAATTAAAGAATTCGAAGATAAGGCGCTCATATACAACATGGTGATCTCAACAGAGAAAACTAAAGCGATAGTGATATCAGCGGAACCGAGACGATGTAAACTAGTCGTAAATAACAAAATAATAGAACAAGTGATGGAAACTGAATACTTGGGAATACAACTGTCAAGCTACGGAAAAGTGGAAGAAGAAGTACAAAAACAAGTGAACATGAAAAAACGGAGCAGCAGGATGTCTCAATCTGGAGAAACAAATACCTCACAACGGAAACGAAAACCAGGATATATAAATCAACAATAAGACCGATAATGACGTACACAGCGGAATCAAGAGCAGATACGGCGAAAACACAAAGACTGCTGAAAACAACAGAAATTAAAGTCTTACGAAAAATACCAACCCAAACTCTAAGAGACAGAGTAAGAAGTGAGGAAATACGAGCGAGAAGTGGTATAGAGGTAATAAACGCGTGGACCAAAAGAAGAAAAGTGGAATGGAATCAACACATCGAAAGAATGACAAAAAATAGAATAGTACGAATAGCAAGAGACAAATCGCCAAATGGAAGAAGATCATTGGGACGACCGAGGAAAAGATGGTCAGACA